GTATATACGAGGACTTTAAACTTCTCCAAATGCACATGTTTTTGTACACAGATTGTGTTGTGCAAAACATCCGCATTTTTGCGAAATGGTTGTAATGAACCTTAAATATCCATCCATCTGTCTTATTTTTTGCAAAAAACTAAATGGGTTAACATATTATGTACATCTTGTTGTTTATCACTAATCGTGTGATGTGTTTCGTTTATAAAAGAATAATAACATAAAATAAATTTTAAAAACCAACTTCAGAATATACGTGCATTATAAATAAAGTAACAGAGTTTCATCGTATTGCACTGTTTTTAAAACTGGCATTCTCATAATTAAAACAATTTCTTATATGAATAAATCGAGCCTTTTAGTCTTCGTAAAGAAACTGATATTTTGAAATTACAAATCACAACGAGACTGTAAAGGAAACCTTTTTGTCTGTTTTCGTGATTTAATCTGGTCACATGTAACAAAATATGATATATGTATGAAAATATGTTTTGAACTCTTTAAAAAAGTGAAATAAAATTGCAAGTCACAATAAAAAAAAAGAGCATTATTATTATTATTATCATTATTATTATAATTATTATTATTATTATTATTATTATTATTATCTAATCAATGGCCAAAAACAATACACAGTATCATGTAACATGATACACGTATGTCAAACTGACGATTACATCTCATATATCGAAAATGAATTTTAGAAAGGCATCTCTCTTTCTTTGTTAAATGCATTAGAATTGAGACAAAGTAGGAAAATGCCAAAAATCCCCCAAAGACAAAGAAATATTATTATAACTTACTTTGGAATAGGAAATTCCTTTTCTTCTTTTTCAAACATATCTGTCTTTGTTGAAATGAAAAAAAATATTACTGAATGCACTAACGAGCAATGAAATAGACCTCGAGGATAATTAAGACAGATGTGAAAATCAGTTAACAATTATTTTTGGAAATAGTCAATATTTTACTTTTATCTTTTATAAAAATTATAAGGAGGGCCAGTGATGGATGTTTATTATAATGAATTGCAACCCTAAAACAAAGTTTTAGAACTGAGCTTCATCATACATCAATGTAAAGTAACGTATATAAAGTTTCTTGCTATTATTCATGTAACACAGTTTCATGTAACACAGTACATTGAAGCACATACTACATGTAGCAAAGAAATATCGAGTACACTGTTGCTATAAAGTTAAGATATTGTTAGAGGCCATACGATAACCTGTATTTGTTAATACCCTTGTATTCTGTTCTTTGAAGGATTGTTGTCTAATTTGCAAACTTACAGCAGATAACAGATGTTGAAGGAAGAATGTCACCACCATTTGAATTTATTTTTATTTCCGCTTTATTTGTTGTGGATACCAAATGAATATTTATTGTTGAAGTTTTCAATATCTATTATTCGACGTCTTTGAAAACAAATACAAATTGAAGGATAAATGTAGTCATAGCAAATTTGGTTTCCTATTTCTGTATTTTTCCGATGATGATGATAATTGATGGCTGCTTAACGTCCAGCGGCATTCAGGACGAGAACATGTTAATGTAATATGAATATTTACCCTGCTTTGTACTAGACCGAAACGCTGAGCCGGATTTTTAATGTGCTAATTCACAAGGTAACAGTCCGCAGGAAGACATGTCACCTTAACCGGACACATTATTCTGACTCCGAGCCGACTAGCCTTTGCTCTTACTCCAAAATGCCGCGTGCTTAGCAAATACCAATTTTAAAATCTTTGGTTTGACACGGCCGAGGTTCAAACCCACAACCTCCCGCACTCGAGGTATATGTATTTATTTATACTAATTTAATAAAAACAAACCTTATTCCTGTTTCTAGTTGTAAACTTAGTTATATTTAAAATATAACCTATTTTTATTAGTTTGTTTTTTGTTTTAAAGTAAATATTGAAACGTCGCTTCAACGATTTGTTTTTCAACTATACAAATCCTTGGTGTCTGGCATAAAAAAAATTCTTATGTACAATGAGCTTGTTTGATGAACATGTATAACTTCAAAAATATCAAAGCAACGTTGAACACACTATAATTTATGATATTTTATAATACATTTGTTCATTTTAAGCATACAGAATGTTGTTTATTTCAAAACATTAGAACCAATTGTCCTCAAAGTTTATCTTGATATAGACTATGTAAAAATATTTTATTTATGTTTTTTCCCGGATGCAAAGTGTCATCATACGTCTTAATGATGGTAATTTAAATATTTTGCATATATATGACGTGCCGAGAAAGTGATAAGTCAAAAACAACTCGTAATTTATAAAAATAGGGTGTATAAACTAAAAATAATCTCTATTAAGCTCAACATGATAGGCAAGGAAAGTATGCATGACTTATATGATTTTAATTGCACATTTTCAATTTATCAATTGTGCAATTTTACTTACTAGTAAACAAAATTGCAGCTTCCTCAGATTAAAAACAAAAAAACAATAACAAGGATACCAAGAATGGAATGGAGGCAATAGAAAAGCTGACTTAAGATTGATTTGCCTGTTCAATATCATGTTCAAATTTGTATGGTATCACACATTTTAGGTAATTAAGTTTCCAATTTTTTTTTATTACTTTCGACTAAGTGGTGTTTACCTGGTTACTGTTGTTACTGTTTTTTTCTCTCTATCCAAGAAACACGTGTCACGCGCTTTGAAATTTTATTTACATTTTATAACACTTATATTACATGTATGTTTCATTAGAATCCGTAATATTGATTGGCTGACAATCACTTATATTACATGTATGTTTCATTAGAATCCGTAATATTGATTGGCTGACACTCACTTATATTACATATATGTTTCATTAAAATCCGTAATATTGATTGGCTGACACTCTACTATCGAATTTCATTTCCGTATAAAATACAACAGCTAGGTGTGTGCACGTGCTATCCGTATCAATGTCAAAACAAGGTATAGAAAAACAAAGAACCACTTTATATAACTCTTAATTTCATGGTTGTAGCATTAAAATGTTCTTATAAGAATTGAATGTTTCTTTTTATAATTTTATAGGGTTGTATATGCGTTGATCGTGCACACATTTTCAGCGAAATGTGTTTCGGTCAACACTTTTACAACCAAATAAAATTATAAAAAAAAGCATTCAATTCTTAAATGTTCTGGTAAACGATCATACGTGAATTTCTCAAACAAATTTCTGTTGATTGATTGATTGGTTGTTCGTGTTTAACGCCACTTTCAGCACATTTGTTTTCCTCGTGGCGTCTAGTTTTTTTTTAATTTCTTGTATGTCGTTCTGAGAAAAAACATATGATGGTGAAAGTAGTTTTTTACAAAAAATCGAGCACTGTGAACTACTACAGTTCTACTATTCTTATGTTATGAAATCAATTTGAAAACATTCGCTTTGGAACAACTAGGTAGTAATCATTAGAAGGATGTGAACTTCAAATTATTTCCCTTTTTTTGTTACGGCTAATTTCCATAATGTTTTTACTAAGGTCGATATTAAATTTGCCTGATCAGATGAAATGTCACTGGCCTGTGGTACTAGTTCATAGATACACTTTAAATCCCTGTGATCTGTGTTTTAAACGATAAAATTACATGACTGTACTTTTATTCATGAGTTTGCAATTAAATGGTCTGCTGTCATTGCATGCAATTTATCTTTACTCGCGGCTATTTTTAGCCTCACAATTGTATGAAGACTTCAAAATATTTTGTGTAGTTGTGTTGCTGTCTTATTGACTATATCCCACTTCTCTTCTTATTCATATTAGTCATACTTTTTCCGTTGACGATTGTGATTTGGACAACACAAATCAGGCTTTTATTTATTTGCTTATTTAGTTATAAAAGTATCTTTGATTACTTTGTTTCATTCTAGACAAACGATAGTCACACTTGTTTCTGCTTGAATCCTGTGCGTTTCAAAAGATAAATATATATAGGTATATGATTATGTTATCATTGAAAGAGCTGAGCATTACAAGTAGGACACATGAATAAGCTAGAAATACTTTTTCAGAGATCACATACTTTGACTATGATCATTAGTGGCCAAATGTCAATTTTAAACCTCGCAAATATCGACAAGTGTTGTTTCTTTTCATTATATTTATAAACTCCGTTGCATCAACTAACACATATTTTTCATTGATCCTTTTTAAAAAACATCATTCACAAAGTTCAATATCAGCGTGATTTTGGAAGGTTCCTTGCGGTAGAATGATATCATTATACAAAACCCGGACAATGAACAACTTTGCAGCAAATCTGTATTGTAATGTTTCAATTTTTTAACGTATCCATGCATGTATCCCACCAAGCCCACTCCCCAATCCAACATAAACTATAAGTACCTCACAAAGAAGAGTTCGGCAAATTGTCAAACATTAAATGAAATCTTAGAGTGCAATGCAAAACAATCCCCTTCAAGGGCAACTACTTTGAAAGATCCATGAGAATAAAGTCACAACCACACTTTGAGCGTTCATAATGAATTTAAATCAATAAAAGCGTTTTGGACGAATAACATTAATTTTATAACGTGATGTTTTCATTTTTGTTTCAACTTTACTTTTTAAATTTCATACGTCTGTTCTTGGTTTACCTTCACAAGGGTCGTTCAAAGTCGAACATTTGAAAGCCAAGGATGTATAAGACCCGAAACAGTTGAAGAGCTATATGACTAAAAGTTCATAAAAAAGCCAAATACATCTAACTACAGGTCATTTTTGTCTGAGAGGATTGAAACCTTCGTTTCTTCATAATTTCTAATATTTTAAGTGGACAATTTTAGAAATGTTTGTTATAAATCATGCTAGTATCGAACATGAACGATATATGATCATTTTTATACAAAATAAAGGAAACAGGAAACTATAAATTATTAAAACTAAATAACAATTGTTGTTTCAAGTGGTTGTGAATGAATATAATGGTACCGACTGTCACTTAGTTAGATTCATTTTTCCCCAACAAAATGACGATGAACAACCTAAAATATCGCAAATAATATCTTTAATGTATAAGGAATTATATTGATATTTAGTGAATCGTGTACTGGTATTATTTAGGGTCCATCCGTTTGTTTGTATGTCTGTACATTGGTTTATTATTCGAAATTAAGATAGCTGGATAAAGTATGTAAACGTTAAATGTCTCAGTTCTAAACATGTTTAGGTTGACATTGTGTTTAGGATTGTGTTTATGATCGTGTTTAGCTTAGAAATTAGTGTTTTATTCCTAAACACTTTAATTCTAAAACACATAGAAAAGTGCTTAAATTCAGGACATGTCTACATTTAATGTGCTTACTCAAAAAATAGGATATCAAACACAATCATAAACACGTTTAAAACTAAACATGTAATGCAAGTGTTTATTTTCTAAGCACGATTTTTACAGTGTAGTCTAATAAGTATTTCTTTCAGTGTATGCTTATCTGATTGTTTTGTTAGTTTTCTTATTTCAAGTTTATGGCTTAAATATTCGATGTCAAAGAAATAAAATTGGGGACGTAAATGAAATGTAAAATTTCAATTTTCAGTTTATTCCATAATTCCATAATGCTTAAACGGATAATATACACGAAGTTCTCTAAAAAATCTGTAAAAAAACATGAAAACAACACTTTATAAACCTCATGCATCCGAAGCGCTTTTCTGGATTTACCTCCATTGGGGACGCTCAACGCCGAACATATGAAAGCCAAGGATATATAAGAACCGAAACAGTTGAATAGCTTCATTACCAAAAAAAAAATGTATTAAAATTGTGGCCAAATCTATCTAAGGTCAACTTTGCCTGGGGGAGTTGAAACCTTGGTTTCTTATATTTTTTAATTCTATAACGGACAATTTAAGAAAATTTGTTATAAATCATATCAGTACCGATATACTAACTACTGAGTTGATAATACCCTCGGGGACTGATATCCACCATCAGCTGTATTGACTCACTGCTGTAAAAAATTGAAAACAACACAAAATAGTCAACATATAAATTTCTGGCTTCAAATCGTTGTCCTATCTATTTTATTTACTTGCTTACTTACAAAAAGACTGAAATTGAAAAACAAGGAAGCAAGATATAAACTTAGTTCGGTAAATCGATATCGTTTAAATGTGGAATGTGTATTTTGCCAGCAGTCATTATAATGGTAAACGTACATGTAAGGATTTTCTTGGCCTAATTCTCTGTAATAGTTAAAACTGTATGAATCATCTGATGATGCAATTAGATTATTACTTTTTGAATATGCAATAATAATTGAGATTTGCAAGATGTGTTGTAAAAAACAACGCTAATTTTAGACAGATATGGTGTTTGCTCAATTTATATATAAAGCATAAAGCATATACACTGCCTATTCAAATGATTTTGTACAATGTTCAACTGTTTATATGAATAAACTTTTACTTTACGGACGATGCATTCATAACATGAAATGTTAACCTGTCGGCGCACTATATCTCATGTTTTGCACGCTGAATTCATGCAATTGTGATTGTTTCTAATATTTGTATATTTATGCTTGATCTTACGATTTTTTAACTGACTTCAGTATTGTTAATTCATATATACAGCCCAACAATGCTAGATCTGTATATTTGCGAAAGTAAATTTTTTGTTCTTCCCTGGCCGGGATTCGAACTCATGCTACTGAGATATCGTGGCACCAAAATCAGCCAAATCGCCTTGCACTATGCCCGACGCGCTAGACCACTCGACTACCTAGGCTCGACAAAACTTAAGCTTTCGGTGGCCGGGTGTTACCTTTCCTCGTCAGTTTTTATCTAGCGTCGTAACACAGTACATGATATATAAGGCATGAAGATGGAATATCACAGATCAGCTGAATTATCTATCGTAGAGGATCTTACAAATTAATGTAGGATGCAGTCACAGAAATAATTATATTATAAGTACGTCTGAACCAGTGACAACTCCACGACAGATTTTATCCCTCGGATCACCAGTGATGGTGATACAAGGCTGAAAACACATTCTGTGTACACAATTCGTCTAAATAACAGCCCAATAATGTTAGATCTGTAAATTTGCGGAAGCAATTTTTTTGTTCTTCCCTGGCCGAAATCATGCTACTGAGATATCGTGGCACCAAATAGCCTTGCACTATGCCCGACGTCGATTGGTCTAGCGCGTCGGGCATAGTGCAAGGCGATTTGGTGCCACGATATCTCAGTAGCATGAGTTCGAATACCGGTCAGGGAAGAACAAAAAATTTGCGGAAACAGATCTAGCATTTTTTGGCTGTTATGCAAATAACATAATTAATTTAAATCAAAATTGGGTTTTAATTCACCTTTTTCTCTTTCCGATCAACGTTTTGGGCCTTTTAAGTCACTTTTGGTAATTAGCCTGAATCGTTTTGTGCATTTTTAAAGTAGCATTCGAAAACTAATAACTATATATAGAGAGAATGGACAGGAGAAGGTGTCAAAGAGACAACAACCCGACCAAAGATCAGAAAACAGCCCGTGGTCACCTATGGGTCTTCAACGCAACGAGAAAATCTCCTGCAGGCAGTCTTCAGCTATATCGATCCGAATAAAAAAAACAAAAAAAACATGTCAGTATTACACGACCTTCGGAATTTTGTCTGTTTTTATTGCAGGCAATTTGTTGAAAGCAGACCAATATATCATTGCTGTTTTAATCATTATCTAAAAGACGACCATTGTCATGGTAAGTATGAATACAGTAATTACAAGGAAGCATGAATATCATTTAAAGATAAAATATTGGAGATATCTTATACATTATATATACTTCAATCATAATCCTAATAAGAATGAAGAAAAAAATCGTATTTGTTTATTCTACATTGATGTACTTCGGTTAATACAAACGTTTTAAAATAGAACATCTTTTTAGCCGCTGTTCAGCAAAATAAGACAAATCAAGCAAATAATATTTTATTTGCAGAATGTAAACCTGGAACGATGTCATATAACTATGAAGGTTGCCAACCATGCGAACAAAATTATTTTGGACATATGTGTCAATATAAGTGTAGCTGTGAGTCTAACAAGAGGTAAACATGTGTTTTCCAAGAAAAAAATATGTATAACTTATTAAAACTTCCGAGCTTATAATTCAGAGAATTCAGTGCGCACGACATGCACGTGTTTTCTCAATAATTCATTTAAAATGCTTGAGAAAACTAACAGTTTGAGACAATCTGATTAGTATACAGAGTATGTGAACATGCTTCTCCTATCTAAGCAAAGAGTGGACAACGAATCTGTATTTTAATCAGATTGTTTTTAGAAGTAAGCGCTGTTACAAAATAACAAAGATAATTATTTCTTCAGATAGATTGCCTGAAATAGTTTGATTCTCAATATTTTGTACGAGTAACTGATATATTTGATTAGATATCAAACAGAATGTTTAATTCAAACCATTCAAGAAACGAAGAACACGATGCACGGCGGAAGAGGCACCGACCGACTGGTAGAAAGGTTTCCTTATTTCATAATGCCTAAACGGATACCAATACAAATGTACATGTACCAGTAACTGTTTTAAGGTAGTATAAAAGGTGTACCTGAAGTCTGCAATCGCTTATTAAAATCGGTAAAGATTATGACAGAATGAACAACCTCTTAGAAAAAAGTGCAATGTATTCGGGTATATTTCATGTAAAAATAGGAAATCTTTCAATAACCGCCACATGTTTAAATGTCAAGGAATAGAAGTTTTTTATAATGTTAGTTCCAAAGTGAAGAATATATTCTAGAATATTATTTCCACGGGAAGAAATAATATGTTAACAGCATTTGTTTCTCACGGAATGAATGGTGTATGATGTTTGTTTGACCATAAACAGATCCCATAGCATTGTTTAAACACAGTATTAAGAGAAAATTCTGTCAGTGATCGAGAACACATATATATTGACACAAATGCCTGTCCAAATTCAAGAAACTCGTCAGTGGTTGTCCTGCGTCATATCCTAGTGTTGTTTTTTTCTGTTTTTTTTTTTTTTTTTTTTTCGTTTCTTTAGGGGGATGTGGATGGGTGTCGTTTCTTGTTGATATCATAGGTTTAAAGGGTTTATATGAAGTTTATTCACATCATATTAGGATAGTTTCAATTAGCAAGTAGTATGTACAAAGTGTACACCTATGTTTTGATGTAGACTGTATGTTGACGTCTAGATGTCTGAAGGTTATTTGTGTCTTTGCTCTGCTGTCTCCTTGACGTTACTATATCCCACAATAAAAAATAAATACTTATTGTTTGTATTTCAAAATCAATAATCTAACTATGTTTCCCTATGAGATATTACAAATATACTTATTTCCGTTTTTTAAAACAAAATCATGAAGTGTCTATGTCCGGTATTCAGAAATTGTGACCATAAACTGCGACAAATCTTTCAACTAAGTATTTGGTACTGTTTTATGTGGAATCATATTTTTTTCAGATGCTATCCAGAGTTTGGGTGTCTTGACCTTACAACGTCTTCAGACACAATGGAACGGTTAACTATTTGTGATCGACACAAGAAATACATCCATGATGAACTGTCAAAATAATTTGGTTAAATAAAAATTATTTTGAGTTTTAGTATTCAGTAATACCAATATCATTGCCTAGTCAAATAAAGTGAATACTTGTGTTTCTCTTCATAACAAATATTATCATTTCTTACTCCAGCGATCTCGATGAAAAGAATTAAAACGAATTAATAGAATTGAGAATGGACATGGGGAATGTGTCAAAGAGACAACAACCCGACCAAAGAGCAAAAAAACAGCCCAAGGTCACCAATGGATCTTCAACACAGCGAGAAAATTCCCCAACCGGAGACGGGCATCAGCTGGCCCCATAAAAATGTGTCTAGTTCAGTAAAAATGGACGTCACACTAAACTCCGAAACATATAATAGAACTAAAATTTAAAAAAAAAAATGCAAGACTAAAAAAGGCAAACATATTTATACAGTCGAGAAGCAATAGAAATGTTATCGACGTGATAATGAAACTTACAGAGTATTCATTGTTAATTAAATGTATATATCATGTACTCTGTATACGGACTGGTTTAATCACATGAAATACTAAAATAATGTACTTTGCATATCAAATTAACGGGAGTTTTATGGCAACAAGTTGTCAACGGACTAAGTTAAATATTATTTGCCCATCAACGGACAATATGTTATATTTTGCATTCTTTAAATATTTCATATGCATCGCATTAAGTTTTTTCAGTGCTTTTGTCCTGTTTCGAGGGAAAATTGTCTGTAAATATCCGCTCCTCGAATTCTCGTGTGTTGTATTCTTATGTTTTTCCGAAAACAATACTCTCTTATAAAGCACAGAGAATTAGGCACATAAATCCTACTTGATATCAAGCATACCATGATGCAAAGCACAATGGATGTAAAGACACATGATTAATATGCACTGGTTATGTTGACTGTTTGGATTGCCTGACCTGCCGTTAAAATAATACATTAAAATAAATCTAATTCAAAATTCTCAATAATTTGTTAAACAAATAGACTAGGACACCTGTCTGTTGTTGAAAACTTTATGCTGCCCTCTAGTTGTCTTTTAGTTATTTTTGTCATTTGGTTGTTTCCTTCCTGTCATATGTCAGTGTTTCTCTCCCGCTTCCACCACAAAATGGACCGTCACGATATAGCCAATAGTGCTAACAATTGCGTTAAACACCAACGACAAATCAATCAATCCTTTAATTTCTAGTTTAAAACATATTAATTGACATCGTATACTTGTATTTAGCAAAAGTAAAGGAAAATAGAGTACATCGTGTATCAGTTCATGACACAAAATCGCTACGCACAACAGAAAAAAGAAAGAAAAGCAAAAGAATATGCGCTTGTATTTTTGTTATATATCCATAGTCACAAGTTGGCTTTTGCAAACATGTTGTAAATCCAGGACTAGAAAAAAAAGATGAATGAAACTATTCTCTCATAAACTAATTACAAAATTACAGAAATAATAATTATTTACAATAAAACGATGATAGCGCAATGTTCAGTGCATGTGGTAACACTGAAAACATTTTCTGATCATATCTGACGTCTACCGGGCGTTTGGCGTTAGTTGTTTGGACAATGTCCCTGTTATTGACTAATTATTGACCTTTACATTACCAGAAGTAGGTTAAGTATCATAAAATGTATTCTGTGCCAAAACTTAACTTTTTCACTTTCCCTATTTTACGAGATACATGTAACTGCCCGTCTTCGAAATCTGAATGTAGATATAATTAATCATCTTTTAGTTTTTATGTCGTTTTGTTGCTTTCTCTTAAAATGTCTGAAATCTTTTAACTGTTTATAGTAGCTATGGTTCAAGTAATTCAAAAACTCTTTTCTTATGACGCAAAAAAGTACTTGTTTTTTGCGCCTTTCCTAAGTCAGGAGCCTCTGGCCTTTGTTAGTCTTGTATCATTTTTAATTTTAGTTTCTTGTGTATAATTTGGAGTTTAGTATGACGTCCATTATCACTGAACTAGTATACATATTTGTTTAGGGGCCAGCTGAAGGACGCCTCCGGGTGCAGGAGTTTCTCGCTGCATTGAAGACCCATTGGTGGCCTTCCGCTGTTGTCTGCTCTATGGTCGGGTTGTTGTCTCTTTGACACATTCCCCATTTCCATTCTCAATTTTATTGTTAATATGAGCATACAACTTGATTACTTTGTATCATGGTCTGTAATCACATTTAAAGGAAAAGTAAGACGAAATCTTTTAATCCGATAATTGTGAAAAATTGAGTTGTGTGTCATTAAAAACACGTGTTTTCTGTAAGTTGTAAACACGTAGTAGTCCATCATGCATTGCAACTCATTCATGATATTGGTCAATGACACAGATAAACACATTTGAGTATTATTTAAACAAACAATTAACCAAACTGTTGAAAGCATATATCAAATGATCGTAATTGTCTGATGCAAAATGCAGCAGAATTTTCATTAATTAACAGTACGGTTATCTAAATGTATTTTATAAATCTATATTTAGTTCCTAAAAATACTCTAAATCTAAGATTTGGTTTTGGAAGTGTTGCTGTTACCTAATTATAGATAGAAATCTTACTAAGAGGGATATTAAATTCTAATTACCGACAGAAAAAAAAATAACGGTAAAATTACGACCATGTGAGGTTGTTTATAAAGCGGGTATATTTGTACAACATCATATTCTAAACTTATTGGTCATTTAAAAAGACTTATTCGTAATTGTTATCAACTTAGCATTGTTACAAAAGTAAAATATTTGAATATTGTCTTTATCGATTCTAACATTGATTTTGTTTTTAATAGTTTACTACATTATTTAACATTTATTCATAACAAGTTTTAACACTTGTGGTCCTACATCCTGTTGATAGTTATTTTCTGGTATTGCTGTTCATAGAATTCTTTTGAGGTCCTTATATCAAAACCATTGGAGGCGTATTGGTTTATATTCAAGTCCACGCAAAACATTGTTTGTTTACTTTGTTAAAAGTAAGCTTTTAACTAGGCTTTAGTAAATGAGAGCACTGTGTCATTTGTCGTTTTGTTATTTGTTTTTTATTTTGTGTTACACTATCTTAGTATGTTTTGATATTTTGCCGTAACTATGGTATCCATGGAAAGGGTTGATCGTTGACTTATATGTCTAACCCCACCATATTGTGAACGTGCCTGTCCCAAACCAAAAAAGCTTCTAATTCAGTGGTTGTCGTTGTTTGCTGTTTGTCAGAATTTTGCTGAGGATACTGCAGGTTTTGAACTAATCAAATCGTTTGAAATGTTTCACATTTTGTCATCCCGGAGCCTTTTATAGCTCAATCAATTAGCGATTTGTCGTTTGTTATTTGGTGGATTATTGTCTCATTGGCACTCATAATACATCTCCTTATTTTTATATCAATGATTTAACAAATTATACATTTAACTTTATCAATTTGTGTTAAAGAAAACAAAAATACATGCGACACATGGGAGCAAACGAAATGAATTATAGATATCGGAAAGTTTCACATATTTTAGCCAAAATTGCAAAAAAATCTCTACATTACATTTAGTAAACAAAACATACAATTGTCACATAAACCCTAGCTGTCAAACCCATTAAATACAATTTCATGAAAAATTCAGTTGGGCGGCAGTAAAGGATAAAAGTAAGTTATGGATATGTATGTTAATATGATATACAGTTTTAAAACAATACAACGGAAACAAAACATATATAGCTATTTATTGCACAATAATATGACAAATATCAGAACAATATGTTAAAATGAGCGGAACACTTCCTTTTTACTATATTGTTACAATTGTAAGTACTTGGTTATACTAAGATCAAAATATATGTTTTAAACAAGACCTAAAAAAAAACCATATGATTTGTACAGTACAGTTTTTGATTACAAACTTACTGTTGTATTATAAGAAATGAATATATTTGTCTGATTGAAAATCCTGTAATTGATTGACCCTCAAATTAATGGGTGCCGATGCAGTTCAAAATGAAGTGTCACTTTTGTGATTTGGTGATAGCTTGCAGAACATGGTAACTACTTAAAAAAATGCATGCTTGCAAGAAAAAATGGGTTCCAAATTTTGAGTTTCGTTAGTCTTCTTACTTCTTTAAGATTTTGTGAAAAAGGTTATTTTAGCGATAAATAGCCTATTGGTTTTATATAGAAGCTTTGATGAATGTATATTAGCAAAGCATCTAGTTACATGTCAGCGGTAGATATGCACTTCAAAATTTATTTAATTTTTGTATTTCATTCTAACAGAGTAGGATTTGCCTGCCTTTATTAGGTAGTTTTACACTATGAATGTATTGATAATTTCTAATATTTTTATATGTTGGCTTTCATCATGAATTTTAAATATAAACATTACCAGAATTGGTCACTAAGCTTATTGTAGGGAAACCTAAAAATAAATGTACATGAAAGTAAGTTCCCGAATTGCCCTCTCGTATTTTGAGGAGAAATCACTTTCCAACGCTTAAAAAAGTTAAACGACGTCTCCGCCAAATTTTAAATCCAAAGTGACTAACAATTATGGCAAAAACAAAAAACATTTTAAATAATCTTAGAAATGTCATCTACCCTCAATCCCAGTGCTATGATATGTTCTTCAGTATCCCCTCAAAAAACCCCGACCCCTTACCTGATAATACATGACTTTTCCCTTAAAAATCTTTTTGGAAATAATTTTTACGGAGGGAATAAAAATACATGAATACAAAGTAAACGAAAAAGAACGACGGTTTTCTTTACCTCGTTTAACCGTTAAGACGTATATCTACTGTTAGAGTCTTTGATTAAAAATGGAAGTTACATTTTTGATTGATAGTAGAAATCATGTATATACTATTATAACAAATTTGATGAAAATTCATATAAAATGTGTTTGTGTATGCTTCCTATCATTATATTTCAATGCATTTGATCAAGTAACGCTAAAATCGATTGATTAGTGGAGTATATTATTTTTGTTTAATTATGTATTCTGCGCCAATTGTAAAAGTCAATTGTCGATATTGTAAATTAATATGTACGTTTCCTTTCTTGATTTCCTAGATAGAGGTTTCTTTTAACAAGGAACTATCGAAATGGTTTTTAAGTGGTAAAGTTGAAGTCATTTATAGTTTAATGGATGCCACCATGATTTGGTTATGATAGTCTGTGTCACAAATGAAACGTATGGAACATCTGGAGTCTGAGTTTTTATCATTTTTCAGTTTTCCATATCGTGTTAGGTAGACTGTTGTTTGTCTTTCGTTGTTCTATCTTATTGTAAAATTGAAACAGAAACAACCACAATAATGATGACAACGATGACGATGACGATGACGATGACGATGACGATGATGATGATGATGATGATGATGATGATGACGATGATGACGATGATGACAATGATGACGACGATGATGATGACGAAGATGACTACGACGACGATGATGATGACGATGAAGATGTTGATGATGATTACGATGATGATGAAAATGACTATGATGATGACGATGACGATGAAGATGATCATGATCATGAGTATGAGCACAAGAATGATGACTAACGTTTTTCAGAAATGAACATAAAATTGTTTATCATATATACTGTTATAAGATCATAATATCTAGAGTCATCAGCCTTAAATCGAATTTCATACAGACTACACGCATCACTGCAATTGAAATGAGTTCTATACATCAAAAGTTTGATAAATTGTTTCAATTAGGAAAATTAATTTTATGGACTTGTTTTTCATGCATATTTCTTAGACTTATCCATAAAAGCTTTAATCTCATCATACTCGTCACTTTTGCCAAAGTTGATTGATGTCCTTAAAGGTATTAACCAAGTTTCAAAAAGAACTTTCCTTTCTTTATTATCTGTATTATGTTCCTTAACAGATTTTGAAACATAACATCTGCCTGAGTTTATAAGATTCTCCAAATTTGTGTTTTCACTTTTAAAAGAAAATATAAATCTCGCATTCTTGCATTTAATTATCTTAATTAAATTCGTAAAAAGATCGTGACGGCCAAAAAATGCAGCAAAGTGTAATGGCGTATGTTTTGATTTGTTTTGTAGCTTTGAAGATTTACACATTCTGGCAATATCCTCCTCTTTTATTAGTCCTTTTTCGAAATTTGAGATGCTGGATATAATACTCTTCTCGGCCTTTCCGTCCCAAATTACAAAATAGTGAAGTAATGTATTATCATGTTGGTCAATGGCTGTGAGTAAAATATTTTCAAGACTGTCGTACTCAAGTATTTGTTTTGTTAAAATGCTTAGGTTGTCTTCAATTTCATCTGTTTTATGAACTACATATACCCATGCTAAAATGTATGCACGAAGTTCGCTATTACATGTTGTCGAAAAAACATGTGCAAATACAGCAACGTGAGCAAAAAATGTCAACCTGAAGGGAAATTTATACTCTTCTTTTTTGTTTTTTGTAACATTTACAATCTTCAGTCAAAGACTTGTTTCTTTATACATATCTGTAAAAATGGTCAGTTGTTTTGTGATCTCTTCTGCATGAACAGATTCCGACATTATGGAATCGGTTAAACGCATAACAAAAGTATCGTCCAAGTAATCCGCCAGTAAAACAATTTCATCTTCTAGCTGTTGATAGTTGTTTGGTCTAATAAAATAAATTATGTCACGAACTTTGCACCCGCGTAAAACAGTTAACGGGTGTTTTCTGCCAAGGGAAATCATAACCGCCAGGTTAATTGAGACATGCGAAAATTTCAATGTAGAATTGCTTTCAATTGTGATATATTCGGGCATTAAATAAGATGCCATGTCTCTTGTCTTCTCTGTTTGATACGGCTGCCATTTATCTGGATAGATTGTTTGCATTATCTTACTGAACGACTTCTCAATTATATCATCTAAGGAAAGTTCCTGGTCATAGCTTAGCAACACAGAGACAAGTAAACAGTACTGTATTGCACAACATTCATCAGATGTCCCTTCATTTCTCAACTTATCAAGCTTTAAAACCAAATTATCTGGTGGTTGTCTAACATATTGCAACCCAAGGTGTAAATGATCTTTATGACTACAAATATCAGCACACATCAATGGGAATCCTAGAAAAGGGTTTTCTCTCAGTAAATCGGTAAATATTGATTGTTTGATTGTCATGGTTTCAGAATCGGTCGTTGATTGGCACATATTTGAATTATCTTCAATGGAGACATCATATTTGTTCATTTGTAGTGTAAGAATATTGCTTTTATCTTCAGTGGTGTAAAAATCCTTTCCACCTAGGTCCCATATTATTTCTTGTGGATTGTTTACGATTTTCTTTAAGAAATCAGTAAGATTGGGCGTATCATGATCTACCTCAAATACAAGTTTTGTTTTCTTAATATCAATAAAATTCGGAAGTATGGCACTATCGAAGGACATTTTATTTCCAGATGAATCAGTGATGATATAGTTTGGTTTTTGGCCTAATTTGTTTAACTTTTTTCTTTAATATGGACAATACGGCATCTGTCTTTGCAAAAAGGCAGTTGTAAACATTTGGCAATTGTAGTTTTACCTGTTCCATATCTTCCTTTTAAAACTACAATGGATTTCTGCTTCAGTGTTTCTTGTAAAATTTTAAACTTTGATAATTCATTGACAGTTTTCCAACAGAATTTAATGTCTGCCATTTTACTTTTTTCTCTTTTATACATGTACCATAGTTTTACTGAAACATTCAAACATAATTTATTCGTGACAAATACTTTTCGGCGTAATTGTACACTGAAAAAGGCTTTGATGTTATGATTGGCCAGATAATGAAAGAGAACAGAGATTAACATTTCACATACCGTATGTTTTCATTAACCAACATCTCGTGCAGACTTTCACAAGGTTTGAATTTTGTATTTGTCGTCGAAAATATATACATGTATGTAGGACTTTGAACCGCGATGGTCAAGTTGAGGAGCGATGGTTTGACGTTGAACTGCGTTTTTGATCAATCACGCTGAAGTGCAATGGTTGCATTGTGTTGCTATCTTGTTGAAAGCTACGCCGAAGTGCATTGGTGGTAACGCTGGCGTGCGATGGATTACATAAACTATGTATTTAAAGTTTTTTCATGTTCAGATGTCGATGAAGGTGTCAATTTGTTTGTTAGAAGCAGATTTTCAGATTGTAAATCACTGAGAGTATGCAGAACGGTTTCTCAATGAGTATGAAACTAAAGACACAAATAACATGAAATATATTCTTGTATTTCAATGTAACAAATACCGTTCAAAGAGATGTAAATTAAAGGTATCGATGAAACTGTAATTTAAGCAAGGTACTACATGTAGCAGAGTGGTATTTTTAAAAACAGTATACGATTGATACATTATCCTAATTTGTATGGTAAACAGACTTATTACAGGATGATGATTCTTTTTACAAATCTTTTATTTCAACCACACACATTCATATCATCGATGTCAAAATGCTATACAAATTTTACAGACAATAATGAATGCAAATTTCAACTTAAAGATTACTTTTTTTACACATCTGCGGTTTTTGATTAGCAATCATGCGTCACATAGACCATCGCCCATTGGCGACAGGACCATCAAATTTCGACATAGACAATCACACTTCAGCGTGACAATTGCACTTCAGCGACACCACCGCACCTCCGAGTACTACATATGTACAAATGTATATGTACACTTTTGCCAATCACATTTGTTCTATTGATAAAGTGTAAGAATACATATATAAAATACAGGTTTACCTGTATTATAGAACTCTTATAACACACAAAGAAATTATATTTTGACACTGATGAAGGCCATTTTTTGTACCAAAATATCTGTCAATACGATTTCATTTATCTTGTTAAGTATATATTTAGCTTTAAGAACTCTTATTTCAGTGCTTTGAGTCTATTGTTTTTTTTTAGTTAGTTGTTCTGGGCCTCGTACTGACCTTTTGAGTTGACTGCAACTAATTTTTACAGTTTGTTTTTATGTTGCGCTGTTACACCACTGTCCTAGGTTAGGTGGCGGGGGAATAGGGGGTGTTGAGCGCACACAACCATGTTTAATCCAGACACATTCTTTATATGCTTGTCCCAAGTCAGATTATACGGTATGGGTTTTTCTCATTGTTGTAGGCCTACGTTTGCCTATAATTGCTTACATCCACTTCATTTGAAATCACAGGGATAGTTGTCACATTGGCAATCATATCACATCTCCCTATTTTTATACAGTAAATATTGCGTGGAATGGACAAAAATACCGATAGACTTAATATTAATATTTTTTGTATTAAGAACTAGCTAGTTTAATGAAACTAAAACAGAGAACTGAAATGACTCAAATATGAGACGGATATATACGTCATTTCTGTTAAGAGAGCACATCAAGCACAGGAATTCTAATAATGGCATTTATATATTACTAGTTGAACTATGTATACATTTAAAGGAAGGAGAATGACTATTAGAGTGTAACAAATCACGCCACAAAATCCTTGCGAGTTCATGCAAGAACCAAATGTAGAGGATCACGTTTGTTGCCGTTTTTTTTTTTTTTTTTAAAGTCACGGTGTGTAAAATAAATGATACGGTGCCCATAATAGTATTTATTGCACAAAATATCTACAAACATTTTACTTCTTTTAATAGATTTAAAGAGGCATTAGCTACGAGATAAGAAGGAAAGTAAAGTATGACTATTTTTGTTCAATCATTATTGAAAGTGAAATAGTGAAATAAAAATTCGCTTTTAGCAGCCAGTTTGGTTCAATTTTGTCAAAATAGGATAAGAACTAGTATACAATGTGTTTAAAGACTAATTGGTGGCCTTGTGCTGTTTTCTGCTCTTTGGTGTTTTTAAGTTAACCCCTTAGATGGGCTATGCCTGTATTCAACTATTAAAAGGAAACGGATGTCAACATTGAAAGTGAAACAAAGATGAACTATTTGGTTGACTGATTCGATCCACAAAATATCTTTTTATACAGGTAAGAACGATGATAAACATACTTTTAAACCTACAATATGAAATCAAACAGACTTAGAAAAATCCAATTGTACGTGATTTCTATCTACCTTTATTTATTTTTATGCTTAAATCGAAACATATAACCATCGACAGTCTTCGGAGGTCATTTCGATGGTTAATTAGATGACGTCTAGACAAAAATACACATGAAATGTTGCTACATATTATCGAGTTTATGCATTATTATTTTTTTATTTTAGATTATTTGTAATTTGGATATACGCTTTAGTATGTTATAAATCAAACATGAGAATTTGAGTCAAATCGGTGAACATGAATTTGACAGCTAATGCCCCTTTCATAAAACTTCATCTATAAATACTTTTCTGTTGTAATTATTTAAGTGATATTTATAAATTGGTAGTACTTACAAGCAACACTGGTTCCAATTGGAAGCATTATCCCGGCAGCAACCAGAATACTTAATGTCACTTTGCCAATTTCGAGAGCTAAATTGAAAACAAAATTTTAAAAATCATTAGATTCAGATAACCAACGCTTTTCTTCAATCAGCGTGTTATTTTTGTGGTATTCTCTTACATTGTTTGCTTACTTGGTTCGTTTATTCAAATGGATCAAAAATAGAAAATAACCTGTTCCTCTTATTTATTGACACTTTTTATGTTTGACTAATTTTTTAAACTAATATAAATGACAGCTTGTCACACCATCATAAATTGGCATCTTATAAAGTGGTCTACTGTAAGCTTCGTCAAATCTATTTACTCTTGAATGACCTTTTGTTATAGGTAATTAATATTTTACGGTTTTCTTGTCGTGTAACAAACATTTGAGTATCAGAATTACAAAATGGAAGACCTCCATACGGTCAGTCTTTCATTTTATCAATCCTGACACCCCTCGATACATCATCTGACTTATATACCGTCTTGAATATTATTTTGTGAAATACTTGCAGGAAATTGAATCTCATTTTACCGAACATAGCGGAAGATTTTTTTTCTCATGCTTTCCGGTATAACCAAGCCCAACATCTCAATTTTAACGTTAAATAAAACTCACTAATCTAGATATAACGTTAGCAATCATCGACCATTACATTTAAAATGTTACGGTATTTCCATTAGAGAAACAGGAAGCAAGAAGCAAAATAGATTGTAAAATTGTATAAAAGACAAAAGCCGTTTCGGTACGTAATTTTATATCAACTTTATCAAAGGGATGTGATATTTGTGTATACAAAACAACAAAAGAGAACAATTGTTTTGCTTTTGTTTTTGTTTTTGTTTTTTGTTTTTTTTCTCTTCTGCCTTGCAAATCAGTTTTTTTTTATAAATTAAGAATTAGGATAAAATAATATAGCCTCCACTTTCATTAAACTACTGAGCTGTTCTGATAAATTTTACCAGAATTACTGCCAAGGGCTGTTAAACAAATTCACGATTAATTCACTTACTCATAAAGTAAATGATGAAGGAATTAAACTCAAGGGTGTAATGACTAGGATTACTGCAACGGAGAGAATCGTTGTGGCGAATAATGTAAAAAGTGATTGATCGATGTACAGAAGTTATTTCAAATATCAGTATTTTAGAAACTGCAGTATAAACCGTTGTATCGCAACATCGTCGTAAAAATGTCGATTGTAAAATCCGTATCATTGAAGATGATGTCATTGAGCTAAATGAAAACTACCTTCATCTTTACTGGAATTCATATTCATCCGAAATAAAACGCAGACGATGCACTTATTTGTTTTTATTATAATAGATAAATTTCATAATGACAAATGGATATCAGAATAAAATAGTTAACTAAATAGTTAGAACAGAGAAAACTTGGTACATGTACTTGGATTGCGTAAAACATATGAATGTAACCAACAAACACAAACAACACGAATACAACACTAAGTCGCCTAATGTGCATGTATCAAGGGAAAAACGGACATCCATAGGCCATAGTACTACATGTATGTCCATTACGGTGTGAATTAACAAAATTTTATACACTTTTTTTTTGTAATATCACTACCAGGGAATGTGATGAAATAAAGTGTTATTAGTTTTATATGACGTAATATCCCTTTATTGTGGCGATAAATTGACAGCATTTCCCATTATTGGTGTCGAAAATTAAACTGTGCATTTAGATTGAAATCCCTAATGTGATACAACACATGTCTATCATATGTAAATTCAAATGAATAAGATAAATTTTGTTTGATATGAAATAATCAAAGGGTCTCCGACTAATATTTGGTGAATTAACCAATCTCTCACAATTGGTTGTGAAAAACGTCACCAATCGCGGTTGTACGTCTTACAACAAGATGACGTTTTGCTTGCGTCGACGTTTTATGATATTTTCACCTCAAACATAGCTTTGAATGCTTATTTTGTTATAAAGAAGTTCGTGACCCTATATTTATCTTAAGTTAGATAGGATGTCTTCCACCATCTTGGATTTTGATAAAGCAGATAACAATCGGTCTAGATCTTAAATGAAAGGTGCAAATTTCGAGAGCAGTATGTATCATGTGTAAGATTTTTCATTTTGATATAGAAAATTATTTGTTTTATCATATTTACAGCTGCATTTTACAAAAATCAGATTGTTTTTGTTTTATGCATGTTTTTAAAATTTTACCATATAAGGGTAGATAACTCAGATACAAGGGAAGATAACTCAATAAAGTAACTTTTGTAATAGAATGTGTTGTGAATTTACCTATTTTATTATGTAGCAAGAAAACGAGTCCGGTGACCCCATTATTTGTTTTTCTTATCTGAAAGGATATTATTAGAGCTATATTGTCATATTTTACCTTAAAATTATATTGTGTATTTTACTTTTTATCACCCAAATTTGGGTTTTTCATGCATAATCTATACAAAATCTGACAATTTTGCTCAACCCGTAGCGTGAAAAAAGCACGGTGACCCATACTTTTTAAAATATACATCATTTTGACAAATTATCAAAAAATTCTATGGATTTAAATTAAGACTGCCTATCTACCTTAAACCATTAAACAAAATTTTATGTTTCAACGTATGACTGTTTAAGAAAAATCTATTGATTTGAAATTTGAGATTTAGGGATTTTAAGACAACTTTAGGAAAGTTTTGCGTAAATTGTATTTGCTTTGTTTACAAAAAATGTACAAGTGTCAACTTTTTTGAAAGAATTCATTAAGTAATATTTCAGGAAATAAAAACGATAAAAATTTTTTTATTCCAACTTTCAGTTATAGTTCAACCTGCTAAAGCTGTATGCAAAAAAATACTTAAATATGTGACAAAGCCCAATTACTGTAACTTTACCTTTACCTTATCTCAATTCAACGTTAAAACACAATAACAGGGTCGTCCATTTAAAACTTACGTTTATGGAAGAACGCTTTCAAAAAGCCATTTAAAAATTGTCTCTTTATGCCAGTCGATCATTACAGAATATGAGCCTACTCATTGTATAACCAAATTTCGGTTACGCATGATTACAATGTGTATAATCAATATAAAAACGAAATAAAATATTGATTACCTTACACCAAATTTTCTCCACTGATGACCCTAGATTTAAATAATATTGTGTTATTTTCGTGTGTTTGAAGTAAAAAAAAAGGTTGCATTGGCAGAATTTTAAACATCAATTTTGACTATCCAAACGTTTGACATAAGTCATAAATATAAGTGGAATTTGTTTGTGTTTATTCTTACGAAGATTTGCTACATTTTGTATTTAAATATATGACATAACTTGACCACGGTAGGTATAGTGTCCGGTTTGGATTGTGTTTTTTCTAGCGAGTCGGTCAGCTTTTTTTAAGTGTTGACAGGATTTTTCCGAGTAAAATTACATAAGATGTAAAAGATTTTTCCTTTTTTGCAAGAATAACACCTTTATTCAAAACTGCCCGACTTATTTATAGTGTTATTCAAGTTTTGAACACAACCTTAATATAATCGTTTTGTATTTCATTTTAAATCTATTTTCAGCTCTGTAGACCGTTTTTTTTAAGAACAGCAGTCATAATTTGCAGAATTTTATAACACTGGTCTTTGTTTTTTTAAAGAAAATATATTTATGATCAAGAAATTAGACATTGGGGACCTTAAAACTGACATTTTTACATTGTCGTAATTCAGCGAATGACAATACTACATATTCATTAAAAGACCCACAAAACATAAAACTATAATGTTCATGAATTTTGATCCTTTCTTACTGTAATATTAACATTCTATAATTACATTTAACTATTTGCTCGCCGAATTATGAAACCAAAATGGCAAAAAGAACTAACAAAATTTATTATGCTAATATATTATTTGTCGTACACTTGAAGTTAAATTGCAACATCACTTAAATTAAAATACACAATACGACAAATAACTTACGAGCTTCAATGCGCTCCCTTCTAGATAAAGAAAAAGCAAAAGATTGGCAGAACAATGAAATCCTTGTCAATTGTTAAAATGAAAGAATACATCAAAAGTGGGGTGGGGGCAATACTAATCATAAGTCCTACAATGACTCTCAACACCATGGACAAAAGACAAAACGTCAAAAAGACAAAAAATAATATTAAAACATACGAAAACTAAAGAGACTTAACAACACTAACCCTACCAAAAATCGAAGGGGGGGACTCATGTGCTTCAAATGAGTAGAAAAATCCTCCATCACTAGCCGTGTTGTATTCATTGATGGGTGTAACTCTTATCAAATCTACATACATGTGTTGATTTCCGATTTTTAATTATTGCTGTTTATTATTTTTATTTAAAGCTAGAAATATTGTAAAGACATGCGTATAATTTGGAAGAATTACTGATACCGAAAGATGCATTTTTTATTACTTTACTATCACATGGGCGTTTAACTTATATTCATAGAAGCATTATATGCTAGCATATATTTAAAAACAGAAGGTATATTGCCTTCGTCTATATGATTGTTCTAAACTGGTATTGAAATCATGTGGATATATGAAGCAAGCTCCTGTAATGTGCATTAAAATATAATGAGTTAAGAAAACTTTCATTCTATTGTTGTTACTGCACGGCCGAGTATGAAGTGAAATAACAAAAATACCAAACTCCAAGGAAAATTGAAAACGGAAAGTCCCTTATCAAATTGCAAAATCAAAAGCTCAAACACATCAAACGAATGGAAAATGGCTGTCATATTTCTGCCTTGATACAGGCATTTTCTGTCAAAAAGCATACAAATATAGTTGTATAAAAAGCAAAATGTTTCTTTCTGCTTAAAAAATGAGATAACTAAATAGCTATACATACCTGTTGAAGAAAATGAGTTTGTCTTAACAATCTTATCTTTGTTTGGACTTTTTTCCCTGTAAAATAAATCAATAATAACCAATAACAGCAATACCTCAGATTCGACAATACAATAATCCGAGAAAACATTAATTTCCATCCAATAATGCACTTGGTAAGACGACACTTCAAAAATGTTGAACGATATATTTTGATATAATACATTGTCACATGTAAATTTTTAAATAGTATTTGGTTGAAAAAAATCATTTTGTAGATCTATTTTTTGCTTTATTTTCATCAATTTCTAAAAATTGGGAGGGGGTGACAGAAGTTACATCGAAAGCTTTTAAAAACTGGTACTTTTTAATGACTGGAAATAGTTATAGTTTCAGTGTTCCGTTGGTAGTTATGATGCAATTTTTTATGCATGATCCCGATTATTATATCCGTATGGGTTGCTCACACAATTTTGTCATTATCACGGAACTATATACAACTGTCATATAAGTTGGCAGATAAGCTAGCTATAACCCGAAGTTTATCCCAACATTTTTGTCAGAAAATGCCAAGTACCAAGACAGGTATATGATAGTTGTTTTTCAATCGTTCTATTGGTTGATAGAGTTTGATATTGTCAGTTTGTGAACTTTCCTTTTCGAATTTACCATCGGTTTGGATTTATCGTATAAAGCTCATTCGATTCCTTATCCTTTTACTCATCGAGTATGCAACTTTTATTCACGTGTTCCTCCCTTTAATTTTTTTATTCCTCTCAATCCACCATTTTGACCGACATACTTTCCTCTGAACAAGATATAATGTATTAAACTCGCGTGTTACTTTCTCATATACATAAAATTCTTGTTATCATGGGAACTTATTGATGCAAAAAGGTTGACATGCGCTACGTTTGCATTTGATTGTTTTGATGAAGAAGCCAATGTCCATAATGTTCATAAAAAGGGCCGTCAAACGTCAGAGAAATCTCGGACTAACATTACAAATGCTTTTTGTTTTTCTGCATGTGGTTTAAGGTAGAATGAAATCCGAATTAATGTTTTGGCCAGTCTCTTTGACCGTTCTGATTGGCAATTCGTCCAAGTTGTGCTTTTAAAACATATTTACCTTGCAAATACGCTGATGTCATTGAGTGCAAAATAGCATTCTTTATTTCTTCACATACATGTATAAATATTAACTATGGCATTTTATGAAAAATGTTTTTTTTTAGAACATGTATTTGTAATATTAACAGTTTTGTCGTGATAAAATATATATCAGTTAAAAAAGATATCATGAATTTCTGCGTACCCGGAGTAATTCCTGATTTGATGTCGTATGTTAACCTGTCAAAGTTTAACTTGATGGTTGAGAAGCTTGAGTACCTTGATAACACGAAAACAGTAGAAAACTTACCCAAAAACACGAAAAGAGGTTTTTACTACCCGAAAACTGTATTTTTATGATCTTTTTTAAGAAAAAATTACCTTCACAAATATGTTTTTTACGATTTGTTTTTACGTTTCTTGTATATTAATATGAAGAACGTAATTACACATAGTTGTCTACCTTAGTTATGTTAGTGTAAACAATATTTCTTAATGAATTATACAAATGACAATTTAAATTTCCATTCACAAATAGAATTCAGAAACAAGCAACACGTGCTTTTATTAATCTGTCTACCTTTTGCATCTAGGTACTCGCATCACTAGTTATGTAAGATTATCGATCGATAGGTATGAGACTATCAATTATTATCAAGAACTTGTGGTATTTACATAACTGGTAACGTTTACCTATTATGGTTTTTTATGGCACTTATTTATATTATATGACATTAAATGCATTTATTTTGTACAAAGGTTCTTTTATAGAATATTTGTTTCAAAGATATTGTTATGTGTGGGTCTTGTTTTTTTATTTACTCATTTAAAGCCTTTAAATTTTTTGAAAATCAAATCCATTTTTTTATGTCACGACTGGAAATAACAGTGCGAGTACTTATAGTAGTAATTTATCTAGATAACACTGTGGAAACATACTATATTCTTATCTCATGATTGTACATTATAAGTATTTGTTTATATTACCGTATGATATGCACAATACACCGAGTCAATTGCACAGCTTCCAGATTGTATTATTTTAAAGAAGAAATGTTAAATAACTATACATAATTTTTTTAAAAATCAATTGAATGCTTAGATCAAAAATAAATAAACGCCATTCCCTTAACAGTTTTTTGTCAAATGATTGTTAGCATTCATCAAATATTTTTCCTGTAATGATACTGATTACGTTATACATGTCACCAGTGGTGGTCTTAGGACACAGATTCATTTGGCCATTTAATTGCAATTATACGGCAATTTTTGTCAACATTATATGTTAGCATATGTGATGGAAAAATAAATTAACACTTGTGGAAAGAGGTATAACAAAGATCCCCTGTATACATGATTGCATTTGTTTCATTCACATATTAAATTTGTCAAATGCTTCTAGAATTCAGATATTGACTGTATGAATATCGTATACTTTTTTCAAACAACTTACAACGTGTTACAATAAAATAAAATTGGAATTCGTTTCTACATTTTGCTGTTTTGAAGTCATTTTGATACAAAATTATAAATCAAAATGTTTTCTGCAAGCATTTAGGACTTGATCAACTGTTTAGAATTAGCCATTACATTTTAAGATTCTCAAAGTGCACATATGGAGCCGTGAAACTGTTACATTAACTAAAGATTGACATATCGTTTGAAATTGTCCTAAATTGTGAATTAAATTTAAGTGATATTGGCACTGCCTGTTCGATTTTAAAGTAAAATCAATCTTTAATATGAAATCACAGTACAAACGCATGCACTCATACAATCGATATACGGTCTTCAAAAATAATGAGGTGTCTATACTGTATATGTCAAGATCTAAACCGAGTATTAAAATTTAAAGTTTAGTTCTCAATTCAATTACGTTGAGATTATTTTAAAGTATAGATATACAGGTAGATCAACTCGCCCTTACGGAGTAAATGGAATGACCTCTAGTTTTGGTGGGGTTTGTGTTGCTCAGTCATAAAATTTCTTTTCGGCGTATTTTTGTTTTGCCATGGTGTTGTCATTTTCTCTTCGTTTTGTGAGTTTTTAAATATCCTAAAAGACGGAACATATAAATTGGCTCAGTTCAGTGGATAGTTATGATAAAGCTTACAAAAAAGGTTAGCCAGGAACAAATTGATTCTTAGCCCCAAATTCCATCGCCCCTGAATTTTATCCGGCACTTTTCCAATATCTAAATTCAGGCAAACCAAGCAGTGTTTCCGGTGGACTTTGATTTTTCAATATTACAAAAATTCAACGCGTGTTGATCTTTTGTGTAAAGGTGCTGACTCACTGAATGTACTGAATAACTACTTATTTTTATCTTAAAAATTAGTAAAATATAAACTTTGGCTCCAGCCTCACCCGCTTATGTACATGTAACCACTCCCAATGAACCACTACTGATTAAGCTACACTAACTAAAATAGGCTTCTGTAATTTACCTCTTCAGTTTGAGTATTTCATTAAGACAAATAAAACAATTGGCAATACACACATTGTATAAAATACCTGAATTTAACATGCTACTCAGTAGGACCATGGCATGATTAAGAAAATAGATGAAGTCTACCTTATAAAATTAGAACTATTTATGAATTATCAAAGAACAAAAAAGACAATGTTGAAAATAAAAAAGGTATACCCTGTGAATATAAGAGGAAAAGGACAGCCAATGCATACTGTTTTTACAAGCAATGGTCACGTGAGGTTATATATATATAGTCACATAAAATTCTCCAGTCATGTATTGGATAAAAGTGCCTGTACACATCACATCTGACCGAAATGAGTATAAACATTGAATGCATTATCCAGTCTTCATAAAGTTCAAAACACATCCAACATTTTTACAGCTGTCCCTTTCGACCCCCTGTGCCTACATAACCTAGTCAATTGATAAACTGTTAAATATGTCATCGTCTTAAATGTGGCTGAAATATTTGACACTCGACGTAAGTAAGCGACGAAGGTAAACTGAACGTATGTTCTAGTAGTAAACAGGGAGATGGAAAGCTGTATGATTTATTCGCCAGCAATCAGATCTGTGGGTCATCCGAGTTAACAGTACGTCATAACTTTGATTTATGTGTTTTATTACGTTATAAATTCCTACCACTAAAATAAAATAGAATGATATTGTTGTATTTGTTTTTAACGAAAATGGTACATCTTCTTCGAAAACTTACTCCCTTTAGACATATTCATTTCAAACTATATAATCGTGATAACATTTAAGGCATACGGAAATATTTTATTACAATAGACAAATCATATAATGAACTTATTTATATGATTTTGATTTATTTCATTTAAATTTATGTCAATTGATACTACAAATTTACTTAATACGAGAACAAAACTGATGGTATATGCAAATATGATTTTTTTTATTGTTAGATCCGTTTGCTTGAATCCAAATTATCAAACATATATGTGAAATAAGGTAACAATTACATTACAACGGCAAAATGAGCAAAACAGGTAAAGAAGCCATATTAACATTTTTTTTTGTTCAGTTATTCTGTTTCTGCCAGTTGTGCATTTATCAAAGAGACTGATATAAAGCCAGAGCTAACAAAACTTACAAAAGAAAAAATTCATTGTCTAACCAAGTTTTCTCTGTTCGTCATTTTTATGAAAAATTACAACTTCTTTATCGTACTAATATAAGTTGTAAAAAAGAGGCGAAAGATACCAAAGGGATATTCAAACTCATAAGTCGAAACAAACTTACAACGCCATGACTCAAAACGAAACAGACGAACAGACAAACAACAGTGCAAAAACCACAACAAAGAAAACTAAAGACTAAGCAACACGAATCCCATCAAAAACTTAGGGTGATCTCAGGTGCTCCGGAAGGGTAAGCAGATCCTGCTTCACATGTGTCACCCTTCGTGTTGCTCATGTTAGTACAAACCCGGTAATAAGTCAAATTCGGTAGGTCACATTCGATAAAAGGGGACGGGATTGTAGTTACGACATTAGAACATCTCCTCTATCATCTATGAAACGGATGTTTCAGAACGGTCAACCAACTCATGATTGTGTCCGTAAAACGTAGGAAGGGATGATGTCAACTTCAATACTTTGAACACTTGGTTTAATAGCCTCCTTGTGAGCAGCAACCCTCTATCAAGGAAATCATGATAGGAAGTACAAGCCCTGGAATATCTTATTAACAGGGAGATATATACTCCGTATGCAGGCGTTGTTGGAATATTGCTTCATAGAAATGGCAAGTTCACAATTGGGAAGCTGAAATCATCTCTTTTGTCATAAAGTTTAGTTTTCAACCTACCCTCATTGTCAATTTGTAGATGTAAGTCAAGATATGAGGCAGACTTAACTGTATTTTCTATCTCAAGTTCGATGGATAGATGCGTTCAACATAGTCACCAAATTTTGGATTATTTAATGAGAGAACGTCATCTGTAATTCGATGTTCCTAATGAATTTGATTAAATATTATTTTCTTACCTATGCATTGGAATCGTTGTACATTTCTGCTCAGAATGAACTTGATCTTTTGGTACACATGTGTAATCTGTAATTGTGAGTATTATTCCAATCTTTAAAGTAATTTATCAATGCTTTATAAGCGTATTGACTTAAATGGTATGTGTACATGTACGATATGTTTTCATCAGGATCGATAATTGGTTATTCCCTTTTTGTTTGATGTTTTTTCTTTGAGGTTTGAAATATGGGCAAATAGGGCCAGGGCTAGAAACCTTCAGTCTTAATATTGAAAAGGAACTACAATGTATAATGATGTTTTATATTATTTATATTTAAATCATAAAAATCATACGACTTTGTTACAAGTCAATACTGATTGTGACTTATGTCCGTGGTTTCAGTGAAAATCTTAAGTATATCGGAATGCAAGTATTTCCACGAACAATGTTATACTGTTACACAACTGTACAAGGTCGCTGGGATAGTTGTGCGCACACAAACATTTTACCCTCGAGATTTTCGTTATGTGACTACACAAGCCAGGATCCAATAGTCAATGGGTTATGTTTGGTCGCTGTCTTTTGTAAAGTAAAATCAGGCCTTTTTTTCTCTCATAAATTATTTCACGTTTTGCTTTCATGTGGCTTTTAAAGCTTACTTAATGGTATGATTGGTTAAACTCGTTGTTAAAGGCCATATTATTGCATACATCTTTGCTTGATATTTGTCTCATGTGTAGTCATAACACATCTTAGTGTTTATACTAATTGAATAGCCATGCAATTTGATATAATAGAATAAAAAAGAGGCAAAAGAAACCAGAGGGACATTCAAACTCATAAGTCGAAAATAAACTAACAACGCCATGGCTAAAAAAAGAAAAAGACCGACAGACAAAACACAACATAGAAAACTAAAGACTGAGCAACACGAACCCCACCAAAAACTGGGGGTGATCTCAGGTGCTCTGGAAGGGTAAGCAGATAATACTCTACATGTAGCACCCGTCGTGTTGTTCGTGTTAGTACAAACCCGGTAATAAGTCAAATTCGGTAGGTCATATTCGAGAAAAGGGGGACGGGATTGTAGTTACGACATTAGGAACATATCCACTATCATCTATGAAACGGATATTCAATAACGGTCAACCAACTCATGATGGTGTCCGTAAAACTTCCGAAGAGATGATTTCAATCCCACTTGGAACTCCTGGTTTAATAGCTTCCTTATGAGTAGAAACCCTCTATCAAGGAAATTATGATAGGAAATACAAGCCCTGGAAAATCGTATCAACTGGGAGATATGTACTCCATATGCATGCGCTGCTGGAATGTTGCTACATAGAAATGGAAAGTTCATAATTGGGAAGCTGAAATCATCTCTTTTGTCGTAAAGTTAAGTTTTCAGCCGACCCTAATTGTCAATTCCTAGATGTAAGTCAAAATATGAGGCAGATTTAACTGTATCTGTTGTATCCTTTATCTCAAGTTCGATGGGATAGATGATTTCAACATAGTCACCAAACTTTGAATTATTTAGTGAGAGAACATCATCTTTATAGCGGAAAGTAAAGTTAAAGGATACTGCTGACTTCTTTTTCTTCTTCCTAAGAAGTTCCTATATGAAGTCAGCCTCATATGAATAAAGGAACAAGTCGGCATGAAGAGTGGCACAGTTTGTTCCCATTGGAATGCCGATTGTTTTTTTTTAATTTTTTGCTGGAATCGGAGTGATTTTTTTACAAAGTAGGATTTATACCTCCCTAAGATAAGATACTTGTATCTACGTTGGTTTTTATTTTTTGAAACAAAGTAGGACCAACTCTTTCAATTTGTCTTTTAGTTTGGAATGGGAAATACATGTGTAAAGTGTAGAAAAGTCAAATGTTTTAATACTATTGCAAGACGAAAGAGTCTTAATAAAAATACCTTCGGAAAAAATGAAACTGTTGTTTTTGCAGTGTATTCGATGACACGAACAGTCTTCTGTCCATGGAGAACACGTGCAATTATTTTGAGGATTATGAATGAATGCATATCCTTTTCTATAATCACATCTACATTTAATGTCTTCTTTGTTTGATCCGTTGTTCACTACGATTTGACCCTCTTCACTGCATACAGATTTTTGGTATGGACATTTAAAGTCCACGTACGACCAAGAAACTTTCGGTGCAAAATATCCATCAGAACATGTCGCTGCATGAGGTTTACCACTCAGAACGCCGTGGTATCCTAAATCATATATTTGTGTTATATTTAAGTTATTTTTCCACATTAAGGGAACATTAGTGTTGTTAATATTCATCACGAGGACACTGAAACTATGGGCAAGTAATTTACGAAAATGTCATCTGAATTATTTATTGATTTTTTCTGTTTCATAGTATATGGCCTAAATATAGATATTAGTAACTGTTTGATAAACACCAGTGCAATAACAGCCCAACAACCCAAAAAAATATATTTAATAAAAGTATTGCCATGTGGTTGCTTTCTCCTTAACGTATATTAAAAAACGTTTTGTTAAGATATAAATTAAATATGCAATCAAAATGCTATGTAGAAGTACCGGTAGATTGATTTTGTCAAGAAATAAGGGCAGCTACTATTTTAAGGATGCAAAGTGAAAAAGCATTTGTTTTTGTCATACATTCGGGAAGTTAGGTATTTTCTAACCAGTTTTTTTGTGTGTTTTCTGGGCATACGTGATGGATTTATAACAAAACCACCCTGATACCAATATGTAACGATTGAGATAAAATAGATACAATGTCACTCAATATTACTTAAAATATTTTAAATGAAAATTGAATAAACAATTGTCGTCTTCAGTCTATTTACTGACAGCTGCCATAGCGGACTCGTCATTGTCATTCAAAGTGCCAAGCTTTCTTCAACTCAAACAAATTCATTACTTGCTGTTGCGCCAACTTCACATAGTCGTGTATATTCCAAAAATGTTTAGAAATAAAGAGGAAGATGGAACCATTGTTTACTCTACTCTGTCTGTCACTCAAACCATTGATTGACCCTATTCGGTCTGTGAGGAAAAGTAAAATAAAACAATAATCTTCATTCTAATCGATGGCAATCTGTTTGAATACAGATACTTCAACCATTTAAAAAAGTTTACGAAGTCCTAGTGTTTTTTTCGTAACGATACACACCTTACACAATTTGAAAAAAATTAACGAAACAGAAAGTAGATCCGGGCGGTTCTCAGATCATTGTAAGTAAAGCATGAACACAGGATCTGTATTTTAAACAGATTGTTTAAATATGTTCTTTGTATCTTCAAATTGAATGCATTAAAAAGTATTCTCTGATGGAGAGTTGTTTCATTGGCAGTTATACGTCATCGTCTTATTTTTATAATTATTTCACAGAAATAGTTATCACTGTATTACCTTGTGGATAATCATCAGGCCGAAATCATTTTTCACTGATTTTCTTCGTGTTTATATCATACAAACAGTGGTAAAACTCCTGATTATCACATTTTTGTGTCGTTGCTCTCAACATCCAGTGGGACTTATGAGGACAAATAAAGTCATACTCATATTTTGTAGCACTTACGATGATAAGGCTCTAAAATATAAAGTGCTGATAAAAAATTAGATGAGAATATGTGATTCAGTATATTAAACATAAAAACACTTTTCATACTGGTTGCTGTTTTCAATCTACGTTCGGACAACATTCATCAATACTTAATTTACAAAAGTATGTCTTGAACATGGAGAAAGGAAGATAATACTCATATGACAAAACGCGGGTACATTTGACCAAAACCAAATTGACAACCAAAAATCCAAATGAAAATATATCCGACGAGAAGACGACACATCCTTTCGTTCATGCCTTGCTTTAAGACATCGAAGCCTCCAGTTTGTTTCTTGAACTAAAATACTTTTACAATCCTTTGAATACTAATTTTGACTTAATTATTTAAACTCTATTTTTCATTACTACAACTTGTTTTACCGCGGAACATCGGATAATAGTGTTTGTTTAAAACTTTGATCATCCTTTTAAATGATTTGCTTTCAAAGTCCAGTCGATGATATTAGTTGCTTAAAATGGTTACGTTTGACTGGCCATTGATATATTCAACGACCTACCGCACTCAAGATATCAAAATAAGATTCTCATTTTCTAAGTTATATAAATTAAACATGGGAAAAATGCTCAAAATAAAAAAAAGTTTACCATTGTGTAATTTTCATTGATTTGAAGAAGAGGAAACAATACTTACAGCATTGAGTACTGATACAAACAGATTCATCCTACTTTAAATCAGGACCAATTCGAATGACATCTTATTCTGGTGTTCTGGCTAATAATAAAAGAATGAATAAACTAAATAAGATAAATGTAGGACTATCAAAAGTACTATTACACATGCATCGAATAATTAGTTGATTATTTTTTGTTTTTGTTTTTGTTTTGTTTGTTCGTTTTTTTGGGGGGAGTGGAAGGTGGGGATGGTGGACGGGATCAATTTATTACTGACTATTGTTTGATTATTCAACATAAAATTGCAAAGTATCAAACATTATAACCAAACGGAAATGTTAAACGATTAATTAAATGATATATAAGTCAATCGAAATCCAAAGAATTAGATTGACCAATATTAAACCCAGAAATGTCAGGATTGTTAAGGTAAGCAATTCAAATGTAAAGTACATAATGAATAGGCCCCTCCTTACATTATATATATATGTGTGTGTGTGTGTTTAAAACTAAAGGGCGAAGGTGTGAATTTGGCACTATTTGATCACTTGATTTGAAAAGTATTTCAATTCTTCCAAAGAACATCATTCAGATTTTCGAAAGAAAACAGTCAGTCATATGTAATTTTTTTTTTATTTTAATTGTGTCCTTCTAGGTACAGTCTTTGATTTTATTCCAGATAGTATTATCATGATTATTTACTGTAAATTTTGAAATGCATGTATTTATTGCGATTTTTTAATAAAGAATAATCCAGATTAAATATTACGAGTTCAGAAAAGAGACGAAAAATTCATCAGGGACATTGAAACTTGACAATGCAATGCCAAAAAACATCAAAAGGCAAACAACAGTACCCAAAACGAAAAAAAAAAGAAAGACAACCCCACCAAAAAACCGGGGGAGGGGATATCAGCTGCGTCAGAAGGGTAAACAGATCCTGCACCACGTGTTGCACCCATCCTGTTGCTCATGTAAGTACAAACCCGATGATAATGGCTTCATAGTTCCTTTTTCTAACACATTTAAGTTTCCAATCGAATAAAAAAAAACGTTGGATTCATATTTCAACATTCATTAGTTACAAATATTTAGATCCTTTGTGGTTTAAGAAGCTCTCAGATAATTGTAATGGGTTTTAGAATTTCAAATATTTTAGTCTCGAGCATAACTAGATATTAACTGTCGAATTGCACATCTGGTGCAGTAAAATTGGTAACAAGTCAGGAGCCTCTGGTCTTTGTTAGTCTAGTATGTTTTTTAATTTTAGTTCATTTATATGTTTTGGAGTTTAGTGTGACGTCCATTTTCACTGAACTAGCACATAATTTTAGTTAGGGGCCAGCTGAGGACCACCTCCGGGTGCGGGATTTTCGCGCTGCATTAAAGACCCATTGGTGGCCTTCGGCTGTTGTCTGCTCTTTGGTCGGGTTGTTGTCTCTTTGATATATTCCCCATTTCCATTCTCAATTTTACCGTTAATATTTTATTTTTGTAAATACAATTGAACTATAGTCATCAGTCATACAAGTAAGATGTTTAACTAGCTGGCAAATCAGGTTTGGTATAGTAAAGCTTTGGTTATGATAGTTTCGATGGGCTTTCTTCATTTTGAATTTACCTTGAGTTAGTTGTTTTTGTTATTACATTTTTTATACGATTGTAAATTCACTACATAATAACAGATTCGACATGTGGCATGTTTATCGTGTATAAACATGTTCAATGAAAGGTATTCGATGTTGTTAAATGCTCTTCTTTGATAGTTTTTAAAATTAAAATGACGTTTTCGTTGAATTCCAATTATTAACTATAAATGTCTTTTTAGACTTGCCACCACAAAATCGAACATATAAAATAAGAACATGCATAATAAAAGTCCCCTTTATGACAATATAGTATATAAACAATGCGGTGACATCTAAAGTGAAGATTTACCACTTTTTGAATCTCTCAGGTTTTATTTTTTGAACAAAATGTCAAAACCTATTCTAGCTACTTCATGAAAACAAAGAGTTAAATTCTATAAATAAGTATTTTGTCTTACCTGTCTTTGATTATAAGAAAAGGAAGTGAATAGAATCAGTGTAATGTCATAACTAATCGATTTAAAAATAAACAAAACGTATTTATGTCAACTCAAATTTCACTTCAGTCTAAATATACCTCTACAAAATTATTAATACATTATCTGGTCACACATCTGATACAACAACCTATATCAGACTTTTTTAACATTCACCAGGTCCTTTCTTTGCCATAAGTATGCATGTGACTACAAAAAGGGGGTATTTGCTATAATATTGCTTTGAGGGATGGAATTTTTGGATTATATTTCTATCTTGAACAGTTTGAATTAATCAAACATTTGTTTATATTCATGTTTATAGGATCACTCCCTATCTTTGAAGTTGTTGGTTATGCACATAATTTTATTGTTCTCCATTTGTTAACCTATTTCGTTTGCAATGCTACTTTTTTTTCCAAATTCGTTTGTCTCCCTCTTTGTTCATATCTGTCATCATTTCAAAAACTTCGAAATCTTCTTTTTTTATATATGACAAATTCAAAAAAGGAGAAGACCATAAAAACGTACAAAACCTCATGTTGACTACATCCACCGATTAACTTCCGAGTCTGGATAGACGTTTCTAAACTCATACGATACTCAGCAGTTTGCAGCTGCATCTCAGACTTTTTAAACGTCATCGGTCTCTGAGTATAAAGTTAAACAGTCAGGGTTTTGTCAAAGAATGTCTCGTCCTTTTACTCAAAAATTACATCGGACCTCATAGATAAATATTCAGCGTGAAATTCACAAATACAAAATGATGGTCTAACGTTTTGTATCATGTTATTTACTGTTGATGTTTTCCTTTTATTCATCTTTGAAGATTGTGTGCCACAATATTTGATTGTTACTTTTGCACTTTATCGGGATAGCGTGTGTATGTAAAAAAAGAGTTACTATATACTGTATTCTTATTTTACTATCAATCACAGAAACTGTTTGTTCATGTCTTTGTTATATTGAAATGAAATTCTTGACGTTTGTTTTGTTTGCTTGTTTTTATTTTTTTAATTCAAGACAATTTTGGCTACTAGATCATGTAGATCGGAATTAGTTTGTCATGTTAACCAATTTGTCTGTATGGGTTGCTCATACTATTGTTGTCAATATAACTAAACTATAGTCATCTATCTACAACTAAGAAGTTTACCCAGCTACCAAATCAGTCTAACCCACCATTTTCTTAGAGAGTATTCCTGTACTTAGTAAGTAAATATGTTTTCCAACATTCCTTTTTTGGTATAGTCGAGCGATTGTTTATGTCAGTTTTGATGGACTTTCTTCATTTTGAATTTACCGTGAGTTCGGTGTTTTTGTTATTACATTTTTGATGATATCATTAATTGAGTACATAATAACAGATTCGAAATGTGGCATGTTTATCGTGTTTAAACATGTTCAATAAAAGGTATTCGATGTTGTTAAATGCTCTTCTTTAATAGTTTTGAAAATTTAAATGACGCTATCATTAAATTCCAATTATTAATTATAAATATCTCTACAAACTTGCAAATTCAAATTCGAACATATAAGTACATGCATAATAAAAGTCCCTAATATGACAATACGGTATGTGACCTTTTACGAAAGATAAAAAATGCATTGCAATCTAAAATGAAGAAGTACAACTTTTTAAATCTCTCAGGTTTGATTTTTTGAACCAAATGTCATAACGTATTCTATCTATCTCATGAAAACAAAGAGTTTAAATCATCTAAATAAGTATTGTGTCTTACCTGTCCTTAGCAATAAGTAAAGGAAGTCAATCGAATTAGTGAAACGTCATAACTAGTGGATTTAAAAATAACTAAAACGTACTTGTATAATCTCAAATTTCACATCAGTCTAAATATATACCACTGCAAAATGATAAATAAATTATCTTGTCACACATCTGATACAACACCACTATATTACAGACTTTTAAACATTCATTAGACCCTTTGCCATATGTTTGCATTTGACTTCAAAGAGGGGGTAATTGATATAGTATTGTTGGGGGAATGGAGTTTTTGGATCGTACTTATATCTTAAACAGATTGAAATAATCGAATATATATATATATATATTCATGTTTATATAATCACTCCCTATCTTTTTGAAGTTGTTGGTTATGTACATTCTTTAATTGTTTTCTGTTTGTTACATTATTTCGTTTGCAATGCTACCTATACTTCTTTTCCAATTCGTTTGACTTTATCTTTTGTCAACTCTTGGATAATTTTAAAAACTTTGAAATCTTCTAATTTTATATAAGAATTTTTGTTTCCAAATGTAACGTATATGAATCGATATCTTGTGTCAAATAAGTTTCGATCCTTTCGCAACATTCAAAAATAAAGAATTGTTGCAAGACAATTAAAACTGTCAGTCCGTAATAATTTTACAATTACTGTGAATTCTTACTCACATTAGAACCTTTGTCATTTTCAACTATATTATTCATGTTTACTAGCTTTTTGGCTACAATGACACAATTTTTACTTTCTGTTCAATGGCTTTTTATACATCTGGAGGGAAATATTTCCACCGTATATCTTGGGGGATTGCGATCGATTGGGTTCAGCCTTGTTTCGAGCACGAGTAAAATATATCACCTTTAGTCACAAAATAATATCAAATTTGGCTTGTTGAAAAACTGATTTTCTGCAACGTACAAAATCTGCAAAAAAATGCAACGAGTATCAATATGAATGATACAGCAACCCCACAACACAAAAAATACTTGATGTCAATCTTAAAATCGGCAAAGATATTGAAATATGTTTACTATTCAAGGCGGAACTATGAAGTATTTACTGACTGGTTTGAAGCATCATTGAGCATTTGTAGGGTTTATGTCACACAATTTGTATTAGTTTCCTGTGCAGTATTTTGTGAACTGTTGCTTTTGATTGAATTGTCTATTTTCATTTGATTAATTTGTTTGTATTGCCAAATAAGTATCTCCTCCTTTGTGTTTCTTTTCAGTTTTGACGCCCTTAAAACCTCACAGCTTTCAAGGAAGCTATAAATGTAAGAATTTGAATGGTATAGTTTTGGTCGGAAAATTCTGTAGTCAACTATCTGTGTCACAGATGACCATGTATGTTCACTAAAGTACTATTTTAATTCATTTACAGCACTGTGTCGATACAGGTGCTGGTGGAATATCAGTCCCCGAGGCTATCTGCAGTTCAGTAGTCAATACGTCGATACTGACATGATTTAGAACAAACCTTTCTTGAATTGTTCGTTTATAAGTTAAGAAATTATTAAATAACTAAGTTTGCAACTCCCTCAGGTATAGTTGGCCATAGATGGATTTGGCTATTATCATAAGGTCTTTTTTTTTTTGGTCATATAGCTTTTCAACTGTTTCGTATTTTATACATTCTTATATTTGGCTTTGATCGTTCCGAGTAAAGACAATGTGTATCAACAGACTAAACAATCCTTGATATTAACACAATTAATGCATTACCGTCATACACAGGATTTTGACGCGTGCAATTTAAAAAAACGTTGTTTTCATTTTTTATAATGCACAGATTGTGACACGAAAAAGTGACATGCAAAATTCGTGAATTTAATTGGCTCACGCAGCATCATGAAACGATATTGCAACAGTTTCAATCAATGGCTATTTGTTAGGCTATTGGTGACTTTTACAGGTTAAGACGATGTACATTTTTCTTCCATGGCATATATGTAATTTCTTCAAGAACATACAAAATACTCAAACTTTTCACCTGAAAATCTTTTTTTCTTGTCAATTTGTATCACATTCTGAAGTGTTAAAACAGTTTCAAAATGTCTGATATTAAAGTTTGACGCCTGAACATGATATATGACGTCATACTGGTATGTTAAAAAGACTATACCAATGATTCGCGGAATTTCATTATTTAACGCAGAGAAAATGTGTTCACCATTAAAAAATATGTTATATAACCCATGAAATTCGGATATCGCTTGATGTCAACTCTCGCTATTTGATTTAAATGGTCAAAATAATCTCGCCAAAGACTGGGTTATTATCATATTGAAATTACTTTACTCAAGTTGATATCAAGCGATATACAAATCTCATTCGTTATGAAACTCAAAATTGGCAAATCCACAAGTGGAAGAGAACTTTTTATTCCACAGGTGTATATGAATTCATCTCCGGTTCTTGGTGCGGTTCATGTTGCTAAAGTATGATTAGCTGTGTTTTGTTTTGTGGATCGTTGTCTGCGTTTTTGTCTTTACCTTTTAAACACGTTGTTCTTTGACTTATGGATTTTGATCGCCGCCTCAGTATCTTAGAATATGTATATCAATGTATCAAACGGACAGAAAAATAATTAAACAGGACAAGTCGGATTCAAACATAGGTTGGTTGTAGTTAAACGTAACATTGCAAACTACAGTTGACTGTGGCGGTTCACTAACATTACTAATACATAGGAATTTAAAGTCATTGTTTTTGTTATCGCAATTTTTATTATGTACATGTATAAGTATCAAAAACAAATTCTAGCTTAGTATAGACAATTTACCCAAATATCAATGTCAAATAAAGAAAAAGAACACAAGATTAATACTATAATTGTGTACACTAATCTTCTGCTGTTGTAGGTATTTCAATGTATTCGTGTACCTTAGTGTCTCTCTTATCTTTCAGGGTATTATATGGGTTGAGATAAGTTTCCCTTTTTGTTACATTAGCATTGCATGAGTCGCAATCGGTATCATCTGTTGATTGAACACAAGCAGCTTGACAACCATCGGTGTTAACATGTTCTTGTGGCTTATGTGGGTCGATAACAAGATCATCAACACTATCATAGATGTGTTGGCTTTTAACTGATATACGAATATGCATATTTCTGTTTTGGCTTGTTTTTGTTTCTTCAGTGTTTCTCGTTTCTATACATGTATTGCTGATTTGCTGCCCTTGACCTTCTGGCATAGCTGGCGGGACGTTTGATTGCAGTGCCAACTGAGGTATTACGGATCTTCCTGATTGTATTCTCTTGTTAAAACGATTACTACACGTCCAGCAAAATATTAACCAAGTGATGAGACCAGCAGCAACCAACATGAAGTATATTATCGGAGTGCCTGTGTCTAAAAATATATAAACGAGATTTATGTTTAATACGCAAAAAAAATGGATATTTCCGTAATTATTAATTTGTGTTATTTAAACAAAAAGAACAAATATGTGTAATTTCTTATGAAACCCTTATGCAAATTGTAAATTGAGCTGATGTAATTTACATATAATACATCGAATTTATATCGATATCTTGTGATTTTGATATGTATGAGGGTATGGATAGGATTTACAGAATAGAGAAAAATAATAGTTAGTAGAGAAAAATGAGCAAAAATTAAAGAATAGATAATTATGGTTTGCAAAAGTATAAAGAATACAAGTGGCAAAAGAATAATTAGGTTATACAATACTGATTTTAGAAATGAACAGTGTACAGAACGAAGAAATCATATCATAACAAATAAATTTAATAATACATATCATTAGAATTTTACAGAATAAGCGTTATTTTGAAGAAAAAAAACAAATCCCCTAAAAAAATAAAAAGAAATGAAAGACACCCCATCGAGACCCTCACGTATAAAAAACTCTTAACCTATCATAGGAATGTAAATATGATACTTTCAAATTTCAATGATGAGCTGTTACTACTTACATAGCATACATAGCAATGGTGTCCATACTATGATAGTATATGCATGCACACAGTGATATGTTACGCCTGATTTACTGGTTGAAATCTTTTCCATTTTAGAAACCTATTTACCATGGTATTAAGTTCATTGACACATGCCAGACATGTTTGAGATGTGTTGTAACACCAGAGTCTTACGCTACAGGTGGGTTGACCTCTCATACACATGTTCAACCATGCAACATTCTTTTTGTGTCTGTCCTAAGTCAAGGGATCGTCATCAACTTGTTTTGCAATATTTATTTCGTAAATATTTGTAAAGTAAATCAGGCCATCTGGTTTAGAAATGTTCACATATTTTCATAGAGATACCTTCAAAGCTTACTGTATTGATATCTTTGTCCTTTTACAACTGTCCATAGACCAGGGAAACAGTTACAAGACAATGCAATAATATCACATCTTCTAATTTCAATACGGATCTGCTGTTTGATTTAGAGAGGTATTTCAAATATATAAGCTGTTTCAATTATTTATTTCTAATATATTATTTTCTTACCCTTTGCACCAGAAATATCTGTTGTAATTTTTGGGAACAAAGTATCTGAAAAAGTAAACAATATCAATGAGAGAAACTTTAGTCGTCAGTGACTTAGGCAGCTGAGAAATTAAAGGCAAATGTACTAAGAAAATGGCAAAAGTTACACATATTTCTAATTTGTTGATATCGCAAACTGAAATCAAAACAAATATTTTTAATAGACTTAATATGTGTTTTGTTTTCAACCCCATTATCTTCTCACCCTTTGTAAAGATGCATGCAATCACTTTACTTCGGATTCCCAAATCTTTGATCAATTAATTACGTTTTTCTGAGTTACACTTTAACCATGTCCAACAAGTACTTTTTTTCTTCTTATTCTCGCATACAACTTAACACAATTTATCACGTTCGATGTGTTTGAGTTTTTGATTTTGCCATTTGATAAAGGACTTTCCGTTTTGAATTTTCCTTGGAGTTCGGTATTTTTGATATTTTACTTTTTTATTTGTTATCAAGAATAACAAAATGTTATTTACCATTTCTTGGTTGAGAAAGACTCGATAGTTCAAGATTTGCAGATGTTGATGGTACGTCCAGACACCCGAACTGTGAATCACAACTAAAATAAAGATCATCGTTAAGTTAACAAAAAATTATCATTATCATTTTATATATATATATATATATATATATATATATATATATATATATATATATATATATATTATAACTCTATTAATTCTGTCATTTTAATATACATGTAATTAACATGCTTGGTGATTGTAATTAACACATGTACACATAACTTGAGTGACCACAGAACTATATTTTTTCATCATGCTATCCGTTGACTGATGTTTTAACCAGATGCTGTCAAATTACATGTTTGTTATAGCAATTAAAGAAGTTAACTCCTGAACGGCAAAATGACAAACGCCAAAACCAATGTTAACCTCCATTTTGTCACGAGAAACAAGCATATAGAATCTTGGAAAAAAAATAAAGTGTGTCATTTCTCTGTCAATAAGGAACCAAACAACACTCTCGAACAGCAAAAAAGACAAGCGTCAATAACAAACTATACCTCCGTTTTGTCATGATAAACAACATACATGTACAAAAAATAAAGCAAGCATTGAGTAAAAGGTTCTCAAATTAACACACGCAAACAACGAAAAATGTCATTTCCAAATCAATCAAAGACCACTAGTACAAGTATGTGTTCATGCTGATCATTGTAAGGTAAGTAAAATGTTACAGCAAAGACTCGTCTTGGCGCGTGTCAAATTCTAAAGATGGCAAATAGAAAGACCGACTGTAGGGATAAATTCAGACATCGGAAAATTGTATTATATTCTATATTTTATGTATAAAAAAATAATTTAAATGACTTTATCGATTTTTTTTTTGTCTTTTATAGAACAAATTACCTTTGACGATATTGACAGTTACAGACATATTTACACTTATCACCATAGAAATTTGGAGAACATGGTAGACATTCTGTACCGTTAGTGGATGTCGTTCCAGCTTTACACTCTAAAAAAAGAAAACAGAAAAATGATAACCTGAAACAGTCAGCTCGTGCAAAATATTATGTTGAAATAAGTATGAGATGGAAGAATTCATTCACGCTCTTGTCAAAGATGTTTAAAAAGTTTCTTTACTTGAGAAACTAGTTATTCAGGGCGAAATATTAACAAACATGATTCGCTACTGTTTTAACCTTTGAATGTCGAGCAATAAAAATGATTTTCTTATTTCACAATTTATGTTCGATGATAAAATTCCCCATACAAACTTTGGGAAGATGGGGTTTGACAGGCTTAAGATTTATTTAATATGAGATCATAATTAGACTATCAGAATTAAATTCAAAAACGTGTATTGATATTTAATTAATGAACGAATATACTCTTAATTAGACTAAAATATATATCTCATATCATGTTGTGCTTTTTTTTATATAATAAACAATGAAAAGAACACAACATGGCTCTTAAAAAATATCTGTGTTGTCAGAAAATTCTTTTATAAATAATTCAGTACTTATTCTTACTCTGGGTGATTTAGATATCGCAAGACACTTACCGCGCCTATTGTTGGATATGGTATGTTGATACTGTTGTCAAGTCATTAAGGATTGCATATTTTGGTATTGATATTGATTCACCCATAGGGCTTTGCATCGGAAATAAACACATTTATTCTAAAACCAGTTGTTGGCATGATACGGGTTATGTTCTTCTCATATATTTTATGATGGTATGATACTAAACCCCTAACGGGAGGGATTGTACTTAATTTTCATATGATGAAGACATAGTCTTTCTATCAGTTTAATTGAGGTCTGGAGCTTGCATGTCAGTAACTGCTAGTAGTCCGTTGTTTATTTATGTATCATTGTCATTTTGCTTAGTATCTTTTGTTACCTATTTTACATCGGACTCGGACTTCTTTTAAACGGAGTTTTACTGTGCGTATTGCTATGTGTTTCTTTTTTCTACATTGGCTAGAGGTATAGGGAGAGGGTTGAAATCTCACAAAACATGTTTAACCAAGCCGCATGTTTGCGCCTGTCCCAAGTCAGGAGCCTCTGACCTTTGTTAGTCTTGTATGTTTTTTAATTTTAGTTCATTTATATGTTTTAGAGTTTAGTGTGACGTCCATTTTCACTGAACTAGTACACAATTTTATTTAGGGGCCAGCTGAGGACCACCTCCGGTTGCGGGATTTTCTTGCTGCGCTGAAGACCCATTGGTGGCCTTCGGCTGTTGTCTGCTCTTGGTCGAGTTGTTGTCTCTTTGACATATATTCCATTTCCATTCTCAGTTTTATGAATTCTTTTTTTTGTATGCGTTCGTCTTGAGGATGTTTTCAACGCATTTCATATTATTTATAATGGTCCCAGTAGAAAAAGTAGTTTTAAGTATTTGTATTTATATTTACCTGACAATTGTCGTCTTTAAGGTAGTAATTAAAACAACAATGTGGTATTGTTCTACCATCAGCATTCTTCCTGCAATGGAAAACAATACACTTTGGACTTTTTACTTTGATATGCACTGTTTAACTAAAATATAGCTACTGCTTTAACATGCCGCATCTGAATATATTCTATATAAACGTTGAAAATCGATTAAGATAAAGATATTGAAATTGCGTTGATATTGGCATAAACAAATAAAAATCCATCTGAATGTAGTCGGGCCCATGAATTGACTGTATTTTTAAAAAACTAGGTTTAATTTGCAAAATTAAATGTTAAATCTGTTTTCTCAAACCAATTATTTTGTTAGTTGTTTAAGATTATGCTGGGTTCGATAACAGTCGGAACCCAGATCGAAATGAGACAAGGTGTTTCAACAGACTAAACAATCAATGTATTAATGCATTACCATTATATAAAAGACTTTGACGAGTTCAGGCTGATAAAAACCACATTTTTAAACATTTATGACGAAATAAAATGATAAAGGCCATATCTGAATAAATCATATTCTCAAGAAGAAAATGTTATTGAAGTTGTGAACCAAAAGTCTGTTAATAGTAATGATGTTTATCATTAATATTAATTATTACATTTGTTGCCATGAATTACCGTTATTTTCCATGTGTAATAACTTTTATGATTTCACTCCTCTAACGTCATACAACAATGGGTATTGTCAAGACATTGTCGATGATGTTGCATCAAAACGATTTGGGAATGCGTAAAAAAGATATATTTACTTGTATTTTCCACTAAAACCACACGGTCTATGTACTAAAAAGAATACATAAACGAAGAATTCAAATATCAAGAAATAGTCATGTGGTGACCAAACAACATTGATAATTAACTCATGGACTGAGCGCATTCGTGAATTAATGCTTTGCTCTGTCACTCGTTGAATATTTGTCGATATTTGAATTCTTCAATAAGTTATTCTATAACTATCATTTATTAAATACATGTGAATACGTACAACATATTACAAATTGCTCCTTTTGTACATAGTCTTAACTTTGTTTGACAAAACAAACTGGAGTGTATTTCAAGTCTGACCTCTACTGACGAATTTTATGTATGTCCTTGGTTCGTGTTGTGATTTAATTTCGATATCGTTTTTTAATAACAAAAAAATTTAATTCAAATATCTAAAATTGATTTTCCTATGATTTTCTGGAAACCAGATAAATGTCACATATTCATCATGTTCATGTCAAGCGATCTACAACTTTGAAAACAATAGCCTTACCAACAGACGTTAGGATCGTTGATTTCCAGACCATTGCATACATCACTGAATATTATTAAAGTTCTTAAAACAGTTTGGAAAGTACAGTATCTGAGCTTTTTCACGTTGTTTCCATCAGTCATTTTACAGGAAACGAACATCTAAGTTTGACCTTTGTCATATCATTGTTTTTTTATAAAAAAAAATCACAATTTATTGCATAGTGTATTTGAATATTTCCTGTTCCTATGTTTCACACACTTTGGTACGTTAAAAAAGTGACAGCATCACACTTAAAATAATTTATGAGTTTATTAAGTCCTAATAATCAGATATTAGCCAATCTATCCTTTCAAGTACAATGACTTTTTATTTATAGTCAGTTATCAAGTTTTTTCTTGAAACCATATAAAACTTGCGGAAAGCTATGTCTGTATATCATAATTAACGATCTTTAATAATACTGTCTCTAATTGATTTAAACGTCACTTTCTAATTTGAATTAATAAAAAAGGAGGGAGATGTCGGGTATATCGTAAGTTACTGATTAGAGGGAAGTACTGATTTATTTGAGTTTTGTTTTCATTTCGCTGCGTTTTTGTTTTTGTTGTTGTTTGTAGGAAGGTGATTTAGGGAGAGTTCACTCAAGGGATTTAAATTCTTTAACTGCCAGGAAAGAAAACAAAACGTTTTCTTCAGTTTAATCTTTGGTTCAGTTAATGTGTTTTGTTGTTTGTCTGTTTGACTTTTTTGTTTTAGCCATGGCGTTGTCAGTTTATTTTCGACTTCTGAGTTTGAATGTCCTTTTGGTATCTTTCACCTCTTTTTTTTTAATAATGGACTTACATGTGGAGCAGAAACTGCTTACCCTTCCAATTCACAAGTGATCACCTTGGATTTTAGGTGGGAGTCATGTTGTTCAGTCTCTAGTTTTCTTTGTTGTGTTTTGTCTATTTAGTTTTTGCCATGGCAATGTAAGTTCGTTTTTGACTTACGAGTTTGGCAATCACTTCGGTATCTCCGCCTATCTTTTAAAGCACTTTAAATAATTAAACCTAATTAAAGTTAAAGGGAATGTTCAACATATCATGACTTAAATCTTATCTTTTTTTTTACTGATATCAGATAAAAAGATTTCAATATGTACAAAACTTTATTTCGAAAACTGTAGTGAACCTAACTGATAATAAACCAAACTAAGCGTGGGAGTATTGTTGCACTTTATATAATAAGTCGAATAGATATCCCTCGATGACTAATAAAGTTTCTTGTAATAAATGAGACACATTTTAGCCGCATACAACGATTTAACGTCAATGGGTGTCAATCGTGCTTAAATTAGGGCAAATTGGCTCACATTTTCCTTAATCTTGTAAAAAGATCTAACAAACAATAAAAGTAAAACCAAAAACTAAGAACACACTTGTTTCCATTATCATTTCGATGCAAATTTGACAATTGGAATATGTTTAAATATAAATGTATCATATTGTTATATGTTAACGATAAAAGATAAATAGAATATATTTTTTTTTTGTATTCAATAAGCCATTGTAAAATCATATTCGTAGTTTTTATGGTCTGTTGTACTATCTAATAAGTTTGGTAATTCCTGTTATTCTTTTCATGTATTATCTATACGTAAAAGATTTTTGATTATTAAGTAATTTAAAGTCACTTTAAACTCTGAAAGAAGCTGCTTTTAATATTGAACTACACGAATCCAAATGAATATTTAGATAATGAATTTGTTTTGTTGTTTCGTCTTCATTTTGATCTAATGCATCAATCTGATTTGACCTTACAATTTGTCGACTTTTCAGTTGAGTGATAACTATTATCCTGATTTTTTTTGTTTTCGAGCAATGCTAATGTGTGTCTCAATTCATCGCCATGCGTTTTCTTTTGTAACTTTTTTATAGTTGATAAAATTCCTGGAATCTCTTGCTGCTGTTGTTTCAGGTGCTAAATTGCTTGTTCTGTGTTTCAATACAAGAGGTCCTACTATCCGACTGCCAACATAATTATACATCAATGTCATAAATATAAGTAACATAATAAAAAAAAAGAAAACATTAATCTGATGACAAAGAAGCCAAGAAATGTCTTGTCTATTAAAAAAAAACTGTCCCTTTCAAGTTTACTATACCTGTTTCCTCTGCTGCTGAACTGTAAGAAAACGGAGTGTTCTTGGTTAATGTAAATCTAGAAAAGCGCTTTGGACGCATGTCAAATGTTTTGTTTTATTATTTTATAATTAGTAACTGAATACCATTAAGAAATAACGGAATGGCGTCGGTTTTTTTTTTTTTTT